TCAAAGCAAGAGATTGACTTGATCTTCTATTTGTGTACTATTTGACTTTATAGCATCAATAGGATTTAGATCTTGTTGAACTTGAGTATCTGGTATTGAAGTTTCAACCTTATCTTTCTAATTTATTCTCACTCCACTTTTTCACTCTCTACTGCAAAAATCTTATACTCTATGACTTGCTACTTTGTACGTCCCTCTACTATTATTTTTTTCAACTCTTTCATCTCAACCATGATAGTATTTAGTACATCATCCATGTCAAGTGATATTTATATGATTTTTTTCACTAATTCTAATACAATGTCAGTATGACAACTATCCATTTTCTCAACAAAAAACTCACAAAAGGTAGAGATTACTCTATGAATTCTATAATAGCTTTATAATATTCTTCATCATACTTTCTTACAATAAGTTCTTTATGTAATCTCTTTTGTCCATAGATCATATTAATCTTTACATATGTATTGAATCAAACTGAAACGGATGTTTCATGATTCAAATTCATCAAACATTTAGTATAATGTGTAATTGGTATAATCTCATGTTACTCTATAACTAACAATTGGTAGTATCAAAATCAGTCCTGACTCCATCATTCTAGTCATAAAATTTGCACTCTAATGAAATACAACATCCAAACATGACATTTTTCCATTTTTCATATCAAATAGTTAAGACATTGATCATTGAGTTATTGGACTTTTTCCATGCACATTCATATCTACAAACCACACGTTCTACTTTCTTCTCTTGCTACATGCAGATCAATGATATATTTATAGTCTCAAGAACTATATGCTATCATCACATTCTTGCTATTTCATAAGGAGTAATCTACACTTAAGGAAAAAGCAAAGTAGCTCTACTATTGTAACAATAAGAATCTAGAGAGAATCTCACTTGAAGATGAAACACAACTCCAAAGATGAAACATAACTACAATGATTCTACTCTCTCTTTTTTAGAACAAGTACAAAGAAAGAATTTTTCATCCTCATCATCCATTGCACTCCTAGTGAGTGTATGATATAACAGATAATCCTAACAAGTACACGGATCGCTGACGTGACAACTATAACTAATGCACTCCAAGTTTACTAAAACTTCATCTTAAATAACATATATTTTAATTCTAATTAATTAAAGATTGTTACAATTATCTTATCACCGTGAATCAACAATCATGGAGGTGACTGAAAGATGACGACAATGAATTCAATAAATGAAAAGCTTTGCACTCATTAGTTAGATCTTTTTCAAGATTAGTCAAATTTAAAGCAAGATAAAGGCATTAATATGATTTTGATATTTTAATTCTTTATCTTAAAAATCATCAATTTCAAAGAAGCAAGCAAATAATTTGTAAACTCCTTATGATGATATTCTTAAAACATTCTCTACACACATTTTTAAAATCTTCATGTTCTCCTAGTTGCTTCAGCACTGAAGCTTGAAGTTTTATGATTACCGTGCTCACCGCTTGCTTTTGAAGTTACTTCCAATTTTTTTCATTAATCTTCTTTGGTTTAGATCCTAATATATTTTCCAAAATCAATTTGTCCATCAAATTTTGGTTTTCAAACTTGTATCTGCCAATTTTTAACAAATATCATGTTTACTTTTTTTTCCTTGTTGGACGTAGTCGATCATTGACAACAATATCCATATTCTTTGTGAAGTTTTTATCGCTCATTGGATGTCATCGGTCTTTGATGACAACTTTCACATTCTCAATAAAAGTTTTGAAATCTTTGATAAACTCTTATAATACCCTAATTATCTTATATACCTTAGAGATTGTAATATTGGATCCTCAACATATTAACATAACTCCTAAGGGTGTAAAACCTAGAAATTGTTCAATGACGGCCGTCAAGTGCTTCAAACTACTTCCAAGATGCAATTTCTTGTATAACTTTTAACCGTTCAACGAAACTCAACATTTCTAATATCAAATCAAAACTTTTTTTTGTTCTCTTCAAAAGGAAAATCTACCTTATTTTCTAATTTTTAATGTTCGCAATAAAAATTTTATACAACTTTTGTAGTCATCATATATCCATTTTGAACTTTCAAATGGTCAAATTTACAAATGTTCAAACTGAATGATGATCATCAATCTTGACATCATATATTCGGGTCATAAGAATTTCAAAGAACTTACAAATTTGACCATTTGTAAGTTCTTTGTCGCAATTCGACTTGTAGTCTAACCGTTATGAAATCAAAGATATCTTTGAGTTCTTTCGAACACAATGCAGTTCATATCTTCATCCCAAATGATCAAGACGTCACAAAAAAAATCGGCTAAGCTAAAAACCTAAAAGAGCTTTCATATCACCCTACATCAAAAGTATTTCAAAGCTTCAAATGCCCATAATGTTTCACTCACAACTTCACTTCTGTCAAAATTTGTTTCAAAATTGTTGAAATCACAAGGACTACAACATAGATCAATTGAAATCTCAAAAAACACACCGCATAATGTGCCAAAATGAAATTGAAAAAAATCCTTGTCACAAAAACATTGCAGAAATGACTCCAAGGCTTCTCTAATACCACTTGTAGGAAAAACCTTGTCACTCTGTGTGCTAATAGAAAGTATAACCAAGAAGGTTTACTCCATCTCCATAACCAGCGTGAATACAAGCTCTCCCTTTTTATCTCTCTCTCAAACTGCTTTGTACAAGATGAAAAAGTTCTAAAGTGGGCTTGACCCAATCCTCTCTTATAGTAAACATCCTTTCTATGTCTAGTAGAAACTCTAACTACAGCGATCTATACAAACCTAACCATAGTTAGGTCAAGGCATGAGTTAAACCTTAAAAACTGTTTGAATTTTATAAGGTTTGACTCAATTTTCACGAGAAAATCTTTCGAAAACATGCTCATTTTATGCTACGGACCAATCAACTTGTTCAACAATGGAAAGGAAGGTTGCGATGTGGACTAGATTCAGTTTATATTCAAATGTATCTGACAGTTTAGACATAAGATTTTCACATGGGTTCGAAAATGATAACAAGCTTGGAGGAGAACAATATATTATGAATCCTTCCCGATTTAGTACAACATCAATTTGCAATTAGTGATACTGATAGTATCGGTGGCCCTTATTTTAATTTCGATAAATTGGTACTTGTGCACTCGGACTTCCACTGCTTCACATTCCACAACTTGGGGCTGAGTCCCACCATGGCCATAAATTAAAGTTTCTACTTTTCACTTCCAGGTTTTTCTAAAGAATTTTATCCCCTCCAGTAGCCACAAGACGAAGAAAAAACATTATTTTGAAAAGTTGAATGTAGATTGGAGACTTATCAGAAAATCTCTGCCCTACAAAATGGATTCGGGAATGTGGCTTTCGTCTCCAACAATCTTAGTCCGCTCCAAAGCAACCAAGAAATAAGCAAAATATGAATTGCATCTCCTAGAAGACACAGTAATACATTATCCAAACTGTCTTCGTCCTCGCTACTGACGATTTGGATTGATACGAATGCTTATCACTTGATGGTGATCAGTGTGTTGTACTGTGAAGAGCGTCTTTTTTCCAGATTCTATGTGCTGTCGCGGAAGCTTTATTCCTGTCCTAGAGACGGTGTCAATCGATGTCGCATTCGAAAAGCAGTGAATATACTAAAGATAATGTTCAGAGCCCACAGTCTCTATCTGAGCTGCAAGTAGGGGAGTAAAATAATGGTGCATATGGATAGAGACAGAGAATCTTGAGAGAACAGAGTACGGGGTCCCAGCGTCATTACTGAGGCTAATGATAGGTTGGATTATCGGCTAACAGTCTGACTGCCGATCACTACAGTCGGACGGCGATAAGTGCAACCCTGCCTCCTCCAAATGTAGGGACCCGTCGGCGCACAAGACACGCATGCGTCGATGCATTCGCACCAGCGTCGTCGTCGACGAATTTCCGACGAGATGCTGTGACATTCCTGCAATAATGTGCGAGCGTGGAAGATGACAACAGAGGCTTCGGTTGGCGACACGCAAGTTCATGGCCAACGACGACGACGACGGGGGGCTCCGAATGGAGATGGCGACGCCGGTCGTGATGTCTGGACTCGCCAGCCACCGGCGCCACAGTTATGACATGCACGAGGAGAGTTCGTTATGAACTCTGCTCGAGCGAGCGAGCGAGCCATGGCGTACAGTCGTGGATGCATGAACCGCTTCCGGCGCTCTTCCTTAAAGTGGAAAGATATTGCCGCAAAATAAGGGCGAAGCACTTTGCGTCCTCGCCTCCAGTTGCCTACGTCCTCGCCTCCAGTTGCCAGTTACCATTCATAGCAATTCGCTCAAAAGCAATTTTGAGTTCTTAGTTCACGTGGCGCTTATACAGCGGCACTCCTAATGTAGGATATTTGTTCCTGTCCCACGCAAATATTGTCTACCCTCCTTTTCCGTCTACCATCGCGAAGATGAACACTACTCTCTTTTCCCCCGCGAGTGCATTTTTGACTGCGTGTTCTCAGAGGCATCATGCTGTACTTTGGCTGCACACACTATCGTTTCTCTGTCAACCTGTACCTCCTCCACATTCACAGGTTAGAGTATATCAGCGGTGATGAACATCGGTTCAAATTTAGTTTTGATGAGGTTAAATTAAACACATTTTCAGTAGTAGGATGAATACATCAGCGTTAACTATGCTACATTCTAATAAACATTTCGTGTTTTCACCCATGTTTTGGGATTAGCTGAAACAGTGTATATATATTAATTTTAGATTTTTATTTTTTCCATAAATATTTCAGTTTGTTACACTAAATTGTAACTTTTTCACCGTATTGTTCAACTCCTTCTTTCTTTTCCTCAGCTTCTATTTGCCGATATGATGGTTTTTTTTTCTTCATCAGATAAAAATAGTAATTTTCTTTCTATAAACTTTCGAAAGTTTTGAAAGTTATTAAGGTATCAGAGGAGAGGTATGTTATATTTCGCTCTTACTCAAATATCACATCGCAGCTTTCACGACAATTACAGAGAACTGTGAAATTATTAAATTGAACCTTCGCGAGGCTACTACAGTTACATTGACAGCCCATGATGTGGTCGAAACCTTCACAGGGTCAAGAGATTCGGAGCCAATGCGAACCTCTAAATTTGCTTTTAAAAAAACAGTGTAAGCAAGGAGACAAAGTCCGACCTCGAATAAATAGTCCGAGGCCGGATAGCTCCTACATGAGAATTGAACGTCAATATCATCAAAACAATCTCAAATAGAATCTACTTGGTGTGCCTGGAGCACTTGGACTACACCGTCAGAATTCGCGGCGACCATCGAGTAGTTATTCCCTTTCTCTCTCCAGCAGACGGCTCCGACGAATGGACTTCCGCTCGTGCTCAGGTCTGAGCCTGGGCAGCAATTTCCTGGAAGCTTATGCCGTTGGAGAGGTATGGTGCTCGAGCTTTTGTAGATGAGAACCTCATTCGTTTCCGATCCACAGGCAAGAATGCCGGCCCCTCTATGTACAGACAAACCAACAAAATTTTTGACATTTAAATGATCTCTAAACGTCCTCTCTAGGTGTCCATCGGGACTGATCATCCCGCTATCGCCTTCTTTATCGTGTGCTGCAAATGCCAATGGGGAGGATACATCCCACAACTTCAATGTGCTGTCGATCGAGGCCGACACTATTTTATCTTTGCCGAGGAATCGCACGTAACTTACGGCTTTCTCATGGCTCGACAGCTTCAAAAGAGGAGAGCCGGACTTTCTAAGATCGTACAAATATACATTACAATCCGCCGACGCCATGGCGATCAGATACTCGGACGCCGGACTGAACTCCGCGCAGCAAACAGAGTTTCCACTCGGGGGCCTGATCACTACAACGCTTTTCTCCGAGCCTCGCTTCCACACGCGCACGGTTCCATCTCCCGATGCGGATGCGGACAGTGTCGGGGCCAGCTTGCTGTAATCTAAACTCCACACTCTCTGCCCGCTGTGCTCGTACCACTCGCTCACTGTGTGCTTGTGCTCGATGCTCCATTCGGACACTACACCATCGTAATCTCCGCATCCTATAACCTCTGAGCCATCGGGTCGCCATTTGAGGCTGCTCAGCTTGCCAGGCGTGCAAATCTCGCCCACGGCAGATTCACCATGATCCAGAGAGAACCCGGAATTCTTCCGTCCTCGCCGCCTGGAGGAGGAGTGCCTACTGCCAACCTGATCCTCGTCATCTTCATCCGAGTACAAATCCTCGTCCTCATCCGATGACACGAGCGCCTCGTCGCTCGTCATCTTCGCGTACGAACATATTCTAATTTTCCTGGCCAGGCCTCCGGTGGCGAAGAGCTCGCAATCGGAGTTGAAGTCGATGGTTCCAATCACGTCCGAGGCGAGGAGCGAAGGTGACTTACATCGGGAGGACGCCACGACTCGGAATTGCCAGCTTTCGGAGGGATTCCTTCGCTCCGGCGACGTTGGCATGGTTGCGACGACTTTGTCGAGGGTGGATGAAACATTCGTCTCAGCGCATTTCGACCTCCGCAGATCTACGCAGTCCCTACGTGCATCCGAGCTCGTGCTCCTCGCGAGCTCGGAGGCCAGGCATTCGGATGGCTTCTGGTGGGGATTTTCCGCCGGGCTCGTCGAGCACGGGAAGGCAGCCAGCGATAAGCTAGTGGTGGCCCGACCCAAGTTCCACGAGCTGGCTCCTGTTCGAGGTCTCTTGCTGCTGGAGGTCAGTTCTGGCTCCAGGTACCAGGGAGAGTAAGGGCGTTTGGCAGTCTGACAGCTGAGTCCCGTGCTCGGCGAAACGGGCACTATCATGCCCTTCCTGTCGACGAATCTGCACGACTCCGGGAGACTGAACCAGGTATTCCTCGTCGAGTACCTCCCCGCTGGCTGCATGGGTCGCTCACTCAGAATGTCCCCTCGACCCCATGCATCTCCGCTTCCCTGTCCACACAGACTGAACACATAAGTCTCACTAGTATGAGCATTGCGCGATACAGGAAGAAATTCGTCAAAAAACTGGAACGACCACAATGCGAGCATTATAATACGGGGAAAAACTCGAGAATAAATGAGGCGTGACTAGCAATGGCGGCAGATGACTCAAGCTCACACACGTCGACTGGGAACACTCCCGAGAAGTACCCCGAGGTGCTCCCCCCGACCGATGGAGGCAGTGGTGTGTGAGTGCGACGCAAGCGAGGCGCTCGCCCATTACGGTGGGCTGGCGTCCGCCGCGATGACATGGCCGTGTAAAATATGGATTCTTCCTGCACTTAAGAAAGTCTCCTGTCTAAGAATCGTCTGTCCATGGATGTTAGGTGACCTACAAGGTGCGGATTTTCACATACCATTTTCATCAAGCGGTAATCGAGCTCCCGAACATGTCATCACGCCGAGGGCTCATGAGCTGGGATGGGTACACGGGCGATCACCGAACTCCTGCGGCATAAAGGCTTGGTTTCCGTGAAGATCTCACAGCGGTGACTTGCTTATAAAATCCTCCGAGACATTTAGACAGGAAACTGTTTCCACCTGCAATCCATAACTACTCGAGGCTCCACAATCGCGCTGTGGCCAAAAGTCGTTCCGTAGGTGGTCGATACACCAGTTCACGATGGGAAGGTTCAGAGAAATGAGGGCCACAGAAAAGCGGGGAGAGTCCAGGCCCAGAATGTGGGCTGAGCCGCTTACTGCTTCCCAAAAACGTCACCTGTGGGACTCCCCCGAGGAAATATACTTCGCTACAGGATAATTGCCTCGAGAACGAAATGCTTCTGCGTCCCACACCTGGAGTCCACTACTTTCGAGAAACTGCACCGCCTCAACTACGACGACATTCGCACTGGCGTTGATCCTCCCACTCTCGAGTCTGTCGGGCCGGCCATGCCGCAAGTCTCCGCCCGAGTTATAGTGCACCCCGGCTGCTGCCCTCCAGGATATCTGCGCTCTACATGGGCCCGAATCCTGTCAAACTAGATCAGAAGACCGAACGCACCTCCGCACCAATTGCCCGCGCATCCGACCCGCAGGATGCAGAATTCTACGATCTCGAGACCGGCATTTGGGTCCCCAGCGGTGGTCGCCCTGTAAAGGCCCGATGCCGGACGCGCTGGTACTTCCCAGAATAACCCCTTGCCCTCGCCCCCTCGCCCCGCGGTAGATAGACGGCGACGAGCGTTCATCACCTACGACGAGCGAGCCTGTGGGCCATCGCGCACGTCCACGCCCGAGCACGCCCACGTTGCACCTCTTGCAGGCCCTGGGACAAAGCCAGGCCTGCGCTTATGTACGCTCCAGCCCCGGGCCCGGGCATTCGCGCGACGCCCCGCGATCCACGACGAGGCGCGACGAGGCGCGGCAGTGAATCCCCGCCTCGGCCCTGAATCCCGCAGGGTCAAGGGGGCACTGCGCGGGCGGGCGCTCTGGTGGACTTCTCGCAGCCGCTCCACGCTCTCGCGCCACCCTAGATAGTGGTGGCAAGAGCACGAGCAGCCCCCCTCTCCCCCCCGTCTCCCCCACCCCGGCCGAGGGTACACCGGTCGCGCTCGCCGGGCCGCGACTCAGATCCGCGGCCCATGGAATTAGCGGAACGCGAGAGACTGCAGATTTGCGCTGCCGCCATCGCCGAATGGACTTCAAACAGCCGCGTCATGCCCCTCCGCCCCATCTACGTGGCCCCAACCTTTCCACTCCCTGCCTCACGGCTGGCTCATCAGCGACCTCCGCCGGGGCCTGCCTGGTCTGTCCCTCGATCTTTCAGATAAACAGACCCCCCGGCCCTCGCCCTTGCCCCGCCCCGCCCCTCCCCCCTCCCGGATCTCCGTCTGCGCTCGACGATGCAATATGCCACATCCGCGCCGACGTCCACCATCCCGTCCAGTCCATGGGACTCCATGCCATGGCATGAGATGACAGACCATGGCATGCGATGGCATGCAGCAACAGCCGCCAACCTCTGGTCATTCTCTACTACCGGTCGCTGGGGCCGGCTGTCGCGTGCGAGGGTCGAGGGGCGACGATCTCGTTTTTCGACCTGCCCGCTTGCCCTGCGGGCCTCCTCGAGAGGGGGCTGGCCGGGGGCTCGGGCTTGTCGCCATATCCGAATTTCTCTAGAACCCAACCCCGGTGACAGGAAAATGGGCCGCGGCCATTGGCGCGTTATTCAGTTTGTCATGTCGTGGTCCTACAACCAACGTCGGATCGTCGCGGGTCAAAGATTCACTCCGTCTGACATCAGTAAATCTGGGGACAGGCTCAAGTACAACCGTACCTATCAGAAGGTAAAGAGCCGCGGCCCCAGTACACATCCATCCCCCTCCTGCTCCTGCTCTTGCCCCTTCTGCTTGGTTCCCGGTGCCTGGCGCCTGGCTGGCTCCGCAAGAGCCTGACGACAAGGCCCCGCATAGCATCATCTGCTCTATGCTTCATGAGGTTCCTCGGGCGCCGGGGCGTGTCACCGCTAGGCACCATAGATTCAAAAACGCCCCGCGTCGTCGTCGTCGTCTACAATTCTTGCTCCCACCTCCCCCCGTCCCCCGCTGCGCCTCTTTCGAGTTCATCGCCCTTGCCTTAGAACCGACCCAATCATGAACCCCAAACGTATGGATGGCCCCATGTCGCATTCATCTTGTGCGTATTTTCTCTCCTCTCCCTCTCTTCCTCCCTCGTCCTTCTCGATTTGGGGTATGGTCTATTACGAAAACACGTTACTACTCTTCCATGTTCTTTCCATGCTGGCGCCATGTTCTCCGTCGTTTCACCCTTTCCCTTCGCTTCCTATGTTCCTTGGTACCACGTTATTTATCGTTTCCAACTTCTATAAATTTCAAGATTAATCTTTATCTGACACAAAGTACTTCAATGGATTTTCGTATTCATTTGTTATTATGCTAAAATATCTACAAAAATGATTTTAAAATACATGTTATGTGACGTTTTGAATCATCTTCATCATGATGATTATTATAATATTTCTTTTTCTCATAAGATTGTTGACAAACCCTTTTTCATTGAAATTCAAAATAAATTTCATAATCATAAGTTCATTTTCTTCAAACTTCGATTCATACAGCTTCATGAATGCACAATTATGAATAAATTTTAATTCTGATAATATTCAAAAACGTTATAAACAAAATTTACCCCCAAAGTATCATATACTTCTCTTGATATCCTTCCATGTGTAGAGTTTTGATTAGGTACAACATCAAGCTTTAGATGTATATAATATATTTCTAAATATATTTCTCGTTATTCAGATTATATCGAGAAATATATTTCACTAAATTATAAATGTACAACAATACATTACAATTATTATACAATTATTAAACGTCCAACGTTAGCTGTTATAACTTCCTTCTTCATTCGTTCCTGGTTATCGTATAAAATGATTTTTAGCACTTACTCTCAGTTTCAAGAGAAAAAATTGTAGCAATACTTCAAACTCCAAATATTATCATTTTATCATAGAAATAGATTATATCATCGATGGAATCTCAAATTTTAGTTAAAAGCTGTACTCATATTACGTATCAGTGATATTTAGATAAGAAATCTCACTGCACTTTCTCAAAGGAGCGTACTACTTGAGGATCAACATAGCAATCTAAGGACGGTAGAGGGAAATAAATGTACTCGAAATTTCCAAGAAGCGGTGCATCTGTACGAAGTTCGGTAGTGTCTAGCCCCGGCGATATCTGGGAAGATGTACATAAGTATATGTACTCTTAAAGGTAGACCTACCACCAAGCTACAAGGAGAAATGTGTCATATGTACCGTTCGTCGAGAACCCGTCCCAGACTCGCAGTATAGAGAGAATTATAGGGAAAAGTAATGGAATACTCCATCCAGAGTTACATGTAACATGGGCTTGAATCCAATATCATCATGATAAAATTTAAGTATTTAATTTTTAAATATAAGTCCTCTATAATTCTCTCGCTTAACAAGTATTATTTTTCGATTTATTTTCGGTAACTTTTGCATAGAGATGGAATTTCAAATTTTTATAGATAATAATTGACCGATTTCATGCATTCCACGTACATGTTGAAGTGATTGTATATTTTTTATGATATGGCTCCACTCAAAACCAATCAAAGGTATTATTCATATATTTTAAACCTCGTGCATGACGAGAAATTTAATCACTCGAATAAGAAATTCCACCCACGTTCTTAATTATACAATCACATTCTTGAATTATAGAAAACTATTGAAATCGCACTATACATCGCACCGTAACAAACAAGATGACCTCGATAGAATCATCGAAATCCATCCGATTTCAAACTAGCCAAATAAACTACGTAAAACCGCCGGGATAACGAAGGCCGAGGAAGCGAACCATGATTAACCTTGACGCCGGCTGTACCAAAAGCAATTCACACATAATGGAAACAGCCTCGCCGTAAAGGAGGTGAAAAAACAAAATTCCCACGAATACACTAATAGTATGAACGTACGCCTTGTGGTCCAATTGGGGAATGGACCGACGTCACGTTCACGTGGAAAGAGACAAAGGCGGAGATGTCCGCAGTTGTGGTCAGTCATTGGCCACAACAGGGACCGCGATATTTGCCATCTTGTTTTACGTGTCGCCATCCACACACGCCGTCGGATGGCGATCGCGAGCCTGGGCCAGAACAGAATGCGTCACTCCAAAACACGCTCCGGGCTCTCTGAGAGACTCTGAGACTCTGAGACTCTAGAGAGCCGACAAGGCGCAATTAGAGAGCCCCTGCTGCCCTAAAGCCAGTGCACCAGTGCACCACCGGCTCGCGAGCTACGTGGAGTCGGGAGATTTGTGTCGCCCGTGTGTGTGCGCATCATCGAGATTTGCTCTCTGCGAACCGCGATGTGTGGGAATATCCACGTGACACGCTTCCTTCACATCATACTTGGATCCAACCGGAGGCGTTACAGCGCCGCGAATCGGAAGAGGGAATTTGATCAGATCAACTGACTGTTTTCATCGACCATCTTTCGACCGACTTTACGTCGCCTCAGATCCACTGCTCCAAATTCTCGACGTAACGACAGCGTCCCCGGTGGTGATGATGATACCGATTCCCCATAGGGCCGATACGCATCGCTCGATGGCCCATACGTATAGCACCTCGTCCATCATTATGTCAGGTACAGTGAGGTGCTTCACTGGGGGCGGGGCTCTCATCACCCTCACTTCCATTTTCGGGTCGATATAGACCCAGTTGAGCACCACCTTTTTCATTTTATTAACATGCGGCCGCTGCTTATGCTCGACCTTTTATATTCGTACGCACCTTCATTTCCAACAATCGAAGTGAAGTGCCACGATACCAAATATGTACTTTACATCTTGTGAATATATCTACCCGCCATGATGATCCACACACTAAGAGATTTTGTTCATTCTAAACATGGAGGTGGACATATGTACATGTCCAAAATAGCTTTAGCTTCGGATTTATTGATTCAGCCATAAATATCATATAAATAATGAAGACTACAAAAAATCAAAATACTTTTCATTAATAAATTTTTGATTCTTCCATGCATCATAAATCAAGAATCTTTCAGGGCAAATTACAATTCAGAAATTGTATATTGCCCTTTCAGAATATGAAAATTGCATATATAATTATATATTCAATATATATATAGGAACAAAAAATTCAAGTTTATTGCAGATCTTACACATTGCTCATGTCTAAAGCAATGTATAAGATAACAATGTACTCAGCACATTGCTTAAAATTAGATTGTATAATGGGAAAAAAAATCCATCATCAGTGTTTCTTATCATCCATGAAAATTATATTTGATAATAGAATCTGAGAGTATGAACACACACACAAAATTTGAGTACTGAAATTGGAAAAAATTGTAACGTAGATTTGTTGACATGAAACAGTAAGAAAAACTCTTTTCTATCTCAAATTCACTATTTGATCAAATTCTTTAAATAATTGCAGAATTCTCTTCAAATTATTTTACACATTAAAAAATACCCACTCATTAAACGAAGAAGTTATTTACAAAAAAATACAAACAAAAATTTATTAAAAAAACAGAATATGCATGTAGTTATTATTTATATTACAATAATGTTTAATTTTCTGGAACATACAACTGCCAATTAGATCGAAGGTTTATGTTCAATGATATGTTTAAGTTTACGACTATAAATCGATTTCAGAAATCAGTAAAGCAACATTGTCAACATACGGTTATTATTAATTCACATCGCATATTCTTACATACATCA